TCAGCATGTGTATTGAGAACGAGTATCTTCATAATTCTGCTGGCTGTTTGTAGAAGAACTGCACAATAAAACAGTTTCAATACCAACACGACTTAGCAGATAACACGTAATAAAGCCCACTTTTACGCAGATTGTAGCACTACGTAATGTTACACAAACTAACAGTAGATGTTTTAAGGAATTCACAGAAATGACAATGATAGATAATGTAACGCATATACATTATACAGCACAAAATAAAGAGTAACAGTAATGTAGTCGTCTTTGGCCGGGTATGGCAAGTTATAGTACGTACATGTATCGGTTCAATCTTTAACGGGTAAGTTGACAGCAACAAGCAAGATGCATAGGTTCTATTACATTTGTAGCTCACTTGCGTCTAGATTTGGGACGAACCCATGTTACATTTAATAAGTCATTTTTCGTCACAGTTTTTCATGTAGTGGTTACTTCGACAGCCTTTCCGCTGACGCAAACATACTAGTTTGGGGTTCCACAGTTCTTACAACGTTAGCGCTTGAAGTGGTGTTTTCCAAGTTTGTTGGTCTGGTGATGTTGTCTTTGTTGGCTTGTTGTCTGTCATTTCCCTCCATTTTTATGTTTGGTCGGCCCGTCCTTTCGATGGGTTGGGTTAGCTTCACAAATCTCGGCTTCGCTAAGATCCGTTCCTTCCCGTACGTAGTGGTCGCTCCATTAGCGCTAGTGCAGCCACATTTGAATGTGTAAAACTTAATGTCTACAGTCCCGTTTTGATTCGTTCATCAAAGTAGATTTTACTAAGGTATGACTTTACTAACTGATTGTGGAAGTACTAGTACTTAGTACTGATGTAAACAAGAAACAATATACGCGCTCTGGTTGAGTTACAGTAATGGCATTTACATGAAACAAGGTGCTAATAGCCACTAGTCGGTGACGCGTCAGCAGCCCCATGATTGGTCCCCGCTAGAAATCTACTGGATGTCATATAGTGTACACGGGAGGGGATGGCAAAATTGCATTTAAAATTTTATGTTTTGTACAAGAAATATGTATTTTGAAAGATAGATATAAAAAGTGAAGATGAAAGTGCGCAGATAAAGTTTGGGATTTTATTTAAGTATTGTACGTATTTTGATGTACGGAATACTAAATCGATTAACTTACCAAATCGAGTGAACCAGTAATGATTTTCTCTGATCATGATAACTGAGTTAGGACTAGCAAGTTGAAAGTAGACTACAAAAAGAAATAAAAGATCTTGCAACTGCTTGATGATCTTACAATTTTGCCTCGCCCAATTAGCTGCAGTATCGTTATCAATCGCTATAAAATGCCGTGCGCTATTCGTCGTATGAAGAGCACAGGTGGCCAATCTTTCTGACCAATAGCACGCCAGGATTTTCATCGATTGACCAATCGCGGGGAAGTATATTTTACCTGTATTTCACCTGTGCTGAGCACACATATGTTTATCAGGCTTGCAAGTCCTTTTTCTGCCATTCTCGGCTGATTCAACATGGAAGGCGGACTTGCAGGCGGACCTGTAGCCACCCACTCGTCTAACCCCAGCGTCTACTCGTACTCTAGCCTGGTATCCAATCTTACGTGATTGGGGGTATCATTGGATGTTCGGGCAGGTTGTGCCTTCGGGGGCTCTAATAGCTTCCCCCGCCCAGTGCAACAGTCCGTCCCGGTAGGAGTGTTACGCTAATAAGCTATGTATGGTTTCCCCCAACACGTGGGAGGGCTAATCTCGTGAAATATACACCGGGAAACCTATGTGAGGCGGGCGGGACAGAGCTCTTTCGGCCCCGACCACGAAGCAGACTGGATACCAGGCTACTCGTACTCGTGCCAACCACTCCCACAAATACAAAACACTTCGACCAACGTGTGACACTGCAAAATACTAGTATGCATACTACGCCAGAACCAATCCAAGCAGAGGTTGGGTTTTGGGTTATTTTTGGCGTGTTTTTAGACTTTTTTATCGTTTTTTTTTTTTGCACTGGAATTTTTCCTTCACCCAACCCAAGAAAAATTCCAGTGACAAAAAGAAACCCCGATAAAAAAAGTCTAAAAACACGTCAAAAATAACCCCAAACCCAACCTCTGCTTGGAGAGTACCAGAACCATCCCTGAGTGGAACAACCTCTCGCCATGTATACCATGTTAGACATATGTAGGTAAGGTTGTTACTTTACAGAGCTTTCCTCATATTCCTGTGTCAGTTTAATTACCTACTAGTAGTTGTTTTGGTGAAAGACAAGTTTCGTTAATGTTGCCTTCATAATTTAGCAGTATCAAATTGTTATTGTACCATGTTCTTTTCATAGGAGTGGCTACAAAAGGCTTTGGTTCTCACTAAGTCTTTATTTTTCGTGTATTTTGCTTCTATTTTAGTACAAGAGTGGCCACCTTGTCCTAGAATAGTGTCCAAATATATGAATACACGGGCTTTAATTGCTTTGAGTGCAAAGTCATTTTTCTTGTAGTTGTAATGAAGGTAAGTGCATGGTACTCTCCAAGCAGAGGTTTGGGTTTGGGGGGGAAGGTATTTTTAGCGTGTTTTTTGGCTTTTTTATGGGGGTTTATCTTTTGCACTGAATTTTTTTTCCACCGAACCAAGGGTGGTGAGAAACCCCGATAAAAATTAATTAAAAGCCTAAAAACACGCTAAAAATACTCCCAAAACCCAAACCTCTGCTTCGGAAAAGTAAGTGCAGGGGTATTTGGGGATTCCTGGCTGGAATTGAATAAAAGTTTTTAAATGCCGAATACATCCTGAGCTACACACTGTATTGTAGATTTGTCTACATTTGATGCAAAATAAATTTGAAAGAGTATTGTAGTTTTTATTTCACATAGAATTAGGAAAGGCATGAGGAGTATAGAATATTCAAATCAATATATAAACAGTCTTGTATTCATTGCTGTTGGCAAAGGGGCGCCGCATGACTTATATATGGATTTCCATGATTCAAACACGTGCCCCCTTCCCCTTGGTCCCAGCTGTTTCAAAGATCACAATGACGTGTCAATGGTACATATATAAGCCAGCATGCCTGAAAACTAGATGTACCAGAAAAATAGTTGTGACCAGTAGGACATGGAGGGTAAAGTTAGGATGCCTTCTTTAAACATTTTGTTGTGTTTTGTGTTTATTTTTCTGTGCGGTGCGATGGGACAGCAGAAGAAGAAACTCCCGCCTGGTTTTGTCAAAGTCGTGAACGTTACTGAAGGTGAGTTGCCGTAAAAATATCCTTTCACTAATCCTGTAAACTGGAGCATGCCTAGTCTCCACCAGACTTCTTTTGCTGGGTGAATAATTTCAATAAATCGTAGAAATCGGCCTAAAAAGGGTATTAATTGGCCAGAGAAGGTAGCCGGCCAGAGAAGCTCCATTTCCCCATTTCTCCATTTCCCCATTTCTCAATTTTCTCGGCGGGGAAATGGAGCTTCTCTGGCCGGCTATCTTCTCTGGCCAATTAATACCCTTTTAGGCCGATTTCTACGATTTATTCACCCCGCAAAAGAAGTCTGGTGGAGACCATTGCATGCCTACCCGTAAGTTATTGCAGTTCTGTACTGGTTCATAAATTTCGTTTTTATTGCTGGACAAGTCAGCACTAGAGGTACAGGCGTTTTGCAATTAGTATAGTATATTTTTCACTGCACAAATTCAGTTTACACAATTTAGGTCAAAGAAAGTCCAACAAGTCATAAAACGCACTGCACTATTTCAAAACATCTACATGGATGGAGTAAAATTCCCGTGCGGTGCAAGCAATAATATCGTCATCAAAATGTTATATTTACATAGGTGTTGTTGATATTTTGATTCCACAGGTTCAAACGTGACCAGGTTTGACCAGATGGTTGAAATAAAAGACGGGAAGTACTGGGTGGGCACGGATGACGAGAAGGCGCCCGACACGGAGAGACCTCGCCGGAAGACTCATCTGAAGGCTTTCCGGGTAGACCTGTATCCCGTAACCAACGAGCAGTTTCTGTGAGTAATGTAGTGTCGATTTAGACTCGGTGTAGACCCGATGTAGACCTGTATCCCGTCACCAACCAACAGTTTCTGTGAGTAGTGTAGTGTCGATTTAGACTAGACTCAGTGTAGACCTGTATCCCGACATCAACCAACAGTTTCTGTGAGTAGTGTAGACTCGGTGTAGACTCGGTGTAGACTCCGTGTAGACCTGTACTGGCGCGTCACCAACCAACAGTTTCTGAGTAGTGTAGTGTCGATTTAGACTCTGTGTAGACTCAGTGTAGATCTGTATCCCGTAACCACCCAACAGTTTCTGTGAGTAGTAGAGACTCAAGTGTAGACCTGCATGTATCCCGTAACCAACGAACAGTTTCTGTGAGTAGTGTAGACTCGGTGTAGACTCCGTGTAGTCCTGTAATGGCGCGTCACCAACGAACAGTTTCTGAGTAGTGTAGTGTCGATTTAGACTCGGTGTAGACTCAGTGTAGACCTGTACGTATCCCGTAACTAACGAACAGTTTCTGTGAGTAGTGTAGACTCGGTGTAGACTCCGTGTAGACCTGTACTGGCGCGTCACCAACGAACAGTTTCTGAGTAGTGTAGTGTCGATTTAGACTCGGTGTAGACCCAGTGTAGACCTGTATCCCGTCACCAACCAACAGTTTCTGTGAGTAGTGTAGACTCAAGTGTAGATCTGTATCCCGTCACCACCGAACAGTTTCTGTGAGTAGTGTAGACGCGGTGTAGACCCAGTATAGACCTATATCCCTTCACAAATCAAAAACGATTTGCATTGTGTCTGTGAATACGGTATAGTGTCGATCGTTTTGCGATGATTTTGTAACTTAAGCAAGTACGTACGGTGTAGTTTCAATGCAGACCTATCTGTAGTGTAGTGTGGCCTAACGTTGACCTGTAATGTGATGAAGTTGATGAAAGCTCTTTGGTGCAACCGGCTGTAACAAACTCAATATCTTTGAGTAGTACTGGTGTAGGCTCATTTAATCGGACATTCTTGTGTCTATATACTAGTAGTAAATTGTTCTAACCGTCTTACCACTGACTATTTAGCCACCAATAGTGTGAAAGATCTGTGAAAGACTACATGTGCTGGTGTTCGCCAATGCAGTAACGGCCTTAAACTTGTAAGAAAATGTAGAATATTGTGATACTTTACAACGTTAACGTTCTTCATTTCAGGCATAACGAGATGATAAGCCCATTATTGAGCAGCAATCGATATAATATCCCCAAAGGGCTGGATCTAAGTGTGCAGAAAATTTCTAATTACCCGCAGCATCTGTGACACATTTGATTGGTCGTCTCGTTAAACCGGATGTATTAAGGAAAGTCGTTATTTTGAGAGGCACTCGATAAACAAATGATAATCTTATTAAGCGGGACAATGGGACCACTTAACGGTTCAAATCTACACAAACTAGTGTTTTTATAGACTTATAACTGACGTAATTTAGCGTTTGAATTTGCCTTTGAATACAGTAAATGTTTCTCTCTCTATATATATATATATACACACAAACTACAAAATAATGTAGTGTTTTCCTAGACTTATAACTGACAGTAAGTCAGCGTTTGAATTTTCCTTTGAATAAATATGTTTCTACACAAACGAATGTTTTCATAGACTTATAACTGACAGCAGTCAGCGTTTGAATTTTCCTTTAAAATGTTTCTATACAAACTAGTGTTTTCATAGACTTATAACTGACAGTAATTTAGCGTTTAAATTTGCCTTTAAAATGTTTCTATACAAACGAATGTTTTCATAGACTTATAACTGACAGTAATTTAGCGTTTGAATTTGCCTTTAAAATGTTTCTATACGAACTAGTGTTTTCATAGACTTATAACTGACAACATTCAGCGTTTGAATTTTCCTTTAAAATGTTTCTATACAAACTAGTGTTTTCATAGACTTATAACTGACAGTAATTTAGCGTTTGAATTTGCCTTTAAAATGTTTCTATACGAACTAGTGTTTTCATAGACTTATAACTGACAACAGTCGTTTGAATTTGCCTTTGAAGAAATGTTCCTGTCTGCTTGAACATTACTGTTAGGCCAGCACAGCATTGAATCACTGTGGGCTCAAATTGAGTTAAGAGCCGGAAAAAATATGAAAATATTTGTTACCAACACATGTAAAAGGCTCGATGATTTTAAGGGGTGTCAAAAGAGGAGTAATTCTAACACGATTTTATTTTTGTGATTTCCTTCTTTAATTTTATTTTGGGCATATTACCTTGGAAAGAAGTAAAGGACAATCTAGGACTTTATTGATATGATTTTGGGGGCCACATTGCTCAGTTTCTTGTTGCTCTTTGACTCGCAGAAAATTCATCAGGTCGAAAGGAAAACGTTTCAAGACGGACTCAGAAAAGATCGGGTGGAGTTACGTGTTTCAGGATTTAGTGTCTGAAGAGGTGAAGCAGAATTTTACGGTAGAAAACGTTACACAGGTGAGAAATACACTTCTTCTCGTTTTGATTAGTACAATGCAAGTAAAACCGATCTGTGTAGGTAATGCACAGTAACCGGACTCCTCTAAAAAAATGCGGCACGCAGATGACTTATTACCTTCGCCAAGAAGGTTATGTTTTCATGGGCGTTCGTGTGTCTGTGTGTTTATGTGTGTGTGAACACGATAACTTGAGAAGGCCTTGATGGATTGTCTTGATATTTGGTAGATGGGTAGGTTTTGATGAGACCTCAAAATGATAAGATTTTGGGCCACCTGGCCGCTTGTCATGGTACTGCAGCAGAACATGTTTTGATATCTCGTGATCTATATAGTGACCTATATATGTTAGGGTCACAAATTTTACGTGGTAGATAGCTCTTGTGATGGGGATGGAATGACATGAGTTTGAGCCCTCTAGCTGCTTGCTCTTCAACTGCAGGGGCGTTAAATATGTTGATGGATCGTTATGATAAAGGCTTATATCATTTGGCGAAGGTATGTGATCGTGGAACTCTAGTAATTTTCCTGTGGCAAATGATTTGCAAACATGAACTTGTAAGTCCGGATAGTACCTTCCATATCAACAAGCTATGCTGACATCGTTTTGTAGGAGTAATAGCATATATACGGGTCACTTACATTTTAGTACGACTTCGGCGTTCTTTTGCGACATTTGCAAGGTGTACAAAGAAAATGCCAAACAAAAACAAAAACCACTGACATTCGTGATAACTTGTTCTATATTTTGGTAACATTGCAGCTCGCCCCGTGGATGTTACCCATACGTTATGCCATGTGGAGTCAGGTAAGGCTTCGGACTTTTTTCAGTAAAAAAATATTTTTCATTGGAAGACAGAAAAGCAGTGTGGACCGTCTCTTCCGAAGTTGCATGCATGTTTTCTTTCGCAAATAAGAAGTTCATTATGATGTACTAAGACAAAACTCGAAGGAAGGTAAAAAAAAAGTTTGAAATCTCCAGGCAGCTTTTGAGAGTGAAAAGTGTTAGTATATTGTCCAGTCAGTAGTTATGTAGAACTCCTCCGCATTATCATGTAAGTCATATTCCATGTGTATTATCTCAGCCATTAGTAAAATTAGAGTTAGCGCCCATCCTCCGGAAATAGAGAGAGGCCGGTATGGAAGACTACCTGTATGTGAAAGAACCGTATATTGTAGTGCAAAGGCTGTGGAAGACGAAATACATTTTATTTTAAACTGTTCATTCCATAACAACGCTCGAAATGAGTTGACTATTCAAACTTCTACAATCTACCCCAATTTCCCAAAACCCACAAATTTTGGAAAAAGTGGGACATAATTACGTCTTCCATGGTTTACAGAAGAGAAGTCAAACCCTTCAGACATAGTTTTACTACCTTTATCATGTAGACTTTGGTTATTTTATATTCTATTTCATGTTTTGTAATTTGCAATTAGCCTCAGGGCACGAATTTGCAATAAACTTTTCAATTTATTTTTGATATCACCTTTACAAAATAGTCTAGTGGTGCGTGCTAGCTAGTTTCGATACCTAGAGCTTTTAACCAAAAAGTAGACGTTAGATCATAGAGTAGAAATCAGCTAGATATGTAGTAACATACATTGTACCTGTTACAATGGTTGTGCAATGAAGTTTGACTTTGAAATCTTCAGCCGGCAGGACCAAGATCAAACATCAATGACAAGCTACAACACCCTGTCGTGCACGTGCGGTGGACCGATGCGGCGGCGTACTGCTACTGGGCGGGCAAGCGCCTCCCCACCGAGGAGGAGTGGGAGGTGGCCGCGAAGGGAGGGCTAGACGGGAGGAAACTGCCCTGGGGAGGCCGCTACTCACCGCAAAGGCTGAACATCTGGCAGGTACGGTTCTGTATCTGTAGCTGTATAGCCGGTATAACCTAATCTCCAAGCAGATCCCTCTCGGTGGCAAAAAGACAGTATCAAATTGGCCAGGCAGTATCCATTAGCCAGAGAAGCTCCGCGGCCACCGACGGGTGGGGATCAGGACAAAAAAAAAAACGGCCATATATAAAAAGGTAACGATCATTCCCCACAACCTCTGCTTGGAGAGTAGGTATAACCGCCTTTCGGCGTAACACACCAGCTGGGCACACCGGTTGGGCCTGCATGATTACTATTATACTATTATTTGTTTATACCGGTCTTTGTTTGCATCTGTATCTATTTATTTTATCTATCTATCTTTTTTTTTGGACTGAGAGATCGTAACGTTTTCTGTCGACAGGGCGTCCCTGAGTCGCCTCTACCAGGTTCCAAAGGCGGCTGGAAATGATAGAAACTGGCCAAATATTCCGCTAATACAATACCAGCTTGCCACTTAATAGACTGTTTTGTACATCGGTAGTCTGGTAGTGGCTATTCTGACAGTCCCTAGCCCCCAGCTGTGACAGAAAACTCGCTTCCTTACCATTTACCGTAACGCAAGGTGTTGAGCTACGGTAAACGTGTTAGTAAACAAAGTTGTCGAACGAAAAAGAAATTGTCGTGCAACTGTCTTATTTGTCTTTTTATGTCCCCAACTCCTAAAAATTGACGGAGTGACGAATGTCTAGGGGACATCCAAAAATTGCCTGAAATTAGGCATAAGGTAGAGTGACTGTACAGCGGTCCGATGAAAGCATATAAGGGAAAATTACACAGAGGATACTGTGGTTTCATGTAATTAAGTGCGACAAATACATGTGTTTTTTCAAACTCTATTCCATTTGAAGTAATCATAGGATCTTTCTTGTGGAATTCTAGTACTATATGTGTAACAACTGTCCATATTTCATATTTACGCAACAGAAAACTGGGGTTTCTTGTGATATGACATAAATTATGATAATGAGCAATATGGCGCTGTAGTTGAGAGAATGGTTTAGGGCTGTAGCAGCGGCTCCGCTGACAAGGTTTTAATGTTAAACGCGTGAATGATTCTGATAGAAGATAAGTATATAGTCCTGACTCATGGAACACTGTCTTGTTTATAATTTTGTCCCCGACTACTCCAATTACCCTGGCGGAGTATAAGGGACTTCAAAAATTGCCTAAAAAATTGGTTTTGAGGTAAGGTAACAATCGGCACAATGAAAACCTTTACTAAAAATTGAAAACCGAGGACTGTGGTTTGTGTTGTAGAAAAACAACAAAATAAAGATTCTCAGTCGCTATCGTCCATTTTGGTAATGCCAAAATATGTTAGTGTCATGCTGGTACTAAGTATTAAACAACTGTGCATATTTAGCATTTACCTAAAAGTAAACAGGAACTTTTCTTCGTTATTACATAAATTATGATAATGAGCAGTATGGGGCTGTAGTTGCTAAACAACTCGACGATTAGTTTGCAGTGGAAGACGATATACTAGGCGCAGTGGTTTTGTGACATTTAATTGTAATTTGTAGTGAGCCTTTCCTGCTCTCTTGCGCGAAGTATTAAACTTAAAAAACATACCACTGGAAAGGCATACATGTATACAATGCCAGGCACATGTATTGGATTTCCTAGTTTTGTGTAATACTAGACCTTTCCTTTATTTATTATCTACCCCTTCCGAGGAAGGGGTATTCAAAAATTTTTGATATTTGGTATGTAGGTAATCTAAAATTTAAAGGTACTGCAACTTTGACTTTGCAACTGAGGATCGACCAATGAGAAATGAGCAACTTACTTTTTGTGGGCACACAGTAGAATAGATTGTTCAAAATAAGGAACTAAACCATTTTTATACATTATTTAGAAAATTTAGATATCCGTGCATTGAACATAAACTCGTCCACTGAAATAAAGTAACAATGTCTCTTTATTTCATGAAAATGAAGTGCCTTTTTGCAAATTGAATAAATTATGATAATGAGCAACATGGCTACCGTCGCTTTATGCTTTGAGCATGCAAGAAGTGAGTGCAAATGATTACAATATACATTTGTATTATGATATACGAGTATATATGTTGGATACAAGAAATTTCTTTTGTTCCTTATCTACCCCTTGAAAGGGGTATCCAAAAATTCCTGATATTTGGTAGGTAAGTAATCTAAAATTTAAGGTACTGCAACTCAATCATTGCTGGAGCTGAGAAACTTTCTATGAATGAACTATTTGTTTTTGTGGGCGTTCAGTATAATATTATTTGTATAGAAAATGAACTAAAACATTTTGATACATTTATTAGGAAAACGTACAAATTATGTTAATCATCGCAACACTGACTGAAAAGTATACATAAATTAGTACTCCCTGAACTAAAGATAAGCGTTTTTCGCAAACCGCATAAATTATGATAATGAGCAATATGGCGCATTGTCACGAACGGTTAGTTACCAGGCTCCGCCCTGCCCCAAGGTATGCCTGGTCTTCAGGATCGGATCTGGTCAAAGATCCATCGGGAGTGTACCCTGGAAGGCCAGAGTACAGCGGGTCGCGGCTGATTTCTTATCGGCCCGCCAAGCACATATACCCGCGAAACACGATCCAGCCGGCCAGGGTAGTTAGCGCCACTGAAGGTCAGATACTCGTGTGCTATTACTTCTTTGGTTCTAGAAACTCCCTGAGCAAGCGGCTCAAGGGAGGACAAAAATTTGTAAACATATTATATTACTCTGTAATAAGTCAATACACTGTGAAGACACGTTTACTAGAGAGAAAAAACATATCCACACTGTGCTGATCTGATTTCATGGCATTTTTTTTCTAAGGACGTCTTTCACACAAAATTTTTAGAAGGTTTCTCCCTTTTGAAGACTACAAATGCATACTTTTCATATTCCTGTCAACTTACAAGTGTATGTATAAATTCATCTTTCAATTCCATGTCGTTGAACATCCATTTTTCGAAAATGCATAAATTATGATAATCACGGGACAAGTAAAACGTTTTATAATACATCTATTTTGAAAACTCATTTCTGACTAGTAGTAACTAATCTTTCTTCATTTCTAGAACCCCCTGAGCAAGCGGCTCGAGGGGTGACAAAAATTATCACTAACTATAGGTTAATGATGTTAAGAATACGTAGCAAAGTCCTGACGGCTTTTGGATTTTACATACCCAAAATGTGCTGATTTAATTTTCTGGTCTTAACAGCAAGAAAACGTATCTTTCATGCTGACATTTTACGGTTTCTTCGCATTTGAAGACTGCAATTGCATATTTTTCATATTCACATCAAGCTACTAGGGCATATATCAATTCATCTTTCATTAAAATGGCGTTGATTAACCATTTTTGGACAATGCATAAATTATGATAATCATAAACATGGCGCTGTACTTTGAAGCTTTAGCATGTTGATATTTTGAATATTTGGGAAACTAATATAGTCATTACAGTTCGGAGATATAAGAGATGAACATTCATTTCATTACTGTACATTATTGCAACTCTTGAAAATTGATACACAGCTCTATATAGCTTGCATACCACCATAATACACTGTGATACCCTACCTACCTACCTACCTAATCCCTCGACCGACCTGGTCGTCGGGGGGACAAGGCAGAGTTTCCCTCCGGTCCGCCGCAGCCAGCAGCTCCGGGACGTTTAGTGATGTCCATTCCTTTATGTTGTCCAACCAAGTTTTCCTTTGTCGCCCCCGTTTGCGACCTCCCTCGAGCGTACCTTGGAGGATTGTTTTAGCCAGGCTGGTGTGTCTTGTTATGTGGCCAAACCGTTGGAGTTTCCTCCTCCTTACTGTTGTCAACAGTGGTTCCTGGGGACCAACAAGGCTCTGAACTAGTTCCCTCACGTATTTGTTGGTCTTGTGGTCCTTGTACGAGATTTGCAGGAGTCTCCGCAGACATTTTGTCTCAAATGACTGGATTTTCCTTTCTGTCTCTGCCAACAGTGTCCAGGTTTCACACCCATACAACAGGATGGTCACTACCAGTGCTTTGTAGAGCTTGTACACGTGATACTAGCCACCAAAGCTGAGGACGGCAGAGTTTGCGTTACACAGACTGACCAAGGATGTATAAAACCCTTCTTGCTGTGAAAAACGCTTCTTTTATTTTTAAATTCTCCCTGCGAGCATGCGGCTCTCGGGAGGACAAAAATTAATAAACAAGTAATGGCGTTAAAAAAAACACCAAGGCGACAAGTTAAAAAGCCCTCCTGGTGTCATGTATACGTGTATTCCATACTTTTATTTTTGGCTGTAAGGAAAAAAAAGCGACATAACAAAGAAACGAATATCACCAATACTAAATGTATTACTTTGTATCATTTAAGACGAAAAATAAATAATGATTCGCTATCTTTTTGGCGTCGTAATTGTCATAGTTTTGTCTTTTTTAGCCAATGTATAAAAAATACATAAATTATGATAATTTTAGCTGCATATGCAGTACTACTTACCACCGCTAGGTGTCAAACCTCTTACACTGTTGCAGATGTTCGTGTGCTGTCAAATAAATTCAAAGCAGCTTCAAGCTGTCTTTTCGGGTCTTTTGGCGTAGCGCTCAACTCGGAACCAAGAGGTTTCGGGTTCGAGTCCTGACATGCCACCGATCTTGTGCCCTTTTTGGGAAAGGCACTTTACACGACTTTCCTCGCCTAGCTCAGGTGAAAATGAGCATTGTATTGTCCCGTGTTGGTGGCGGCATTAATATAACAACTTGAGTGTGCCATCATCACGTCTTGTGACTACATGTTGGAATATATTTTAAAAAACTGTATTTTCTTTTATATGCAGGGCTCGTTCCCAGACAACAACACTCTTGAAGATGGGCACTTCTCGACGTCATCCGTTCTGTCGTTCCCAGAGCAGAATGATTACGGTGGGCCGTGACGTCATCTTACATGTAGTCTCGATATTCAGACCAACCTCAAAGCAGAATGCAATGTGTGTGTGTGTGCAGGAGTTTGGTATCGTTTTTTTTTTGTACAAAAAAGAAAGAGAGAAAGGTGCTAGTATATATAACACACAGACACAAACAGACAGAGACAAAGGCGTCATACACACACACATGCACATACAGAGCGGACAATAGTTCTGCAAATTTGAAATTGTCTGCCTTTGTCTATTTTCCAGAGGATCCTAGAATCAAATAGGATGTTTCTTTGTCCAAAAGTTAAGCCGACTTTCTAAAATTCAACCTTCCCCATCTTTGTTTATTGATATCTCAAGTTGAAATAATTTGCACATCTGTATTTTTCAAACCTATTTGTAGCTTGGTTACCAAATCTATTATAGCTCCCGAGTATAGTATTTGTAATAGTATTTACGGAGAGGATGTAGGGCCTATAATAGGTTTGGTAACCAGGCTAATCGTCAAAGTTGAGAATTTTTTTCTCATTGAAACGCAGGTATGTATGACGTAGTGGGGAACGTGTGGGAATGGACCAGCTCCCAATACGTCCCACCGGGCATGCGCAAAGAGGAGGCAGATGAGAGGAAGTACGTGTTGAGGGGAGGGTCATGGCTCGACTCTAAGGACGGATCATTCAACTACAGGGTTCAGGTCACTACCAGGTACGGATTATAGAGAATGTAGAATGTTTTATTTAAAAACTCAAACAATACACAATACACCCTGACAACAGACTCGCAGGCAACCTTACTGGATGCCTGAATTGCTCTGTGGTCAACACAAAATATCGGTAAAATATGCTTTTAAAAGTTATTATTGTTAAAACATTTTTGATTATTATTAAAACATCATTGCTAAATCTATATTAATTGTAAATATTCCTCTGCTTTAGACATCTTAAGATAGAGACGGGAAAGAACCCAACACACATTGTATTGCATTTTCATGACTCATGTATATTATTGTAGGAACTTGTATTTCATGTTAACAATTGTTCGACTTTGTAATTTGTATTGCACTGTATTCATATTGTTGTGTTTGGGAGGACAACTTGTAAAGGTGTCAATACACCTGTTTTGTCCTCCCTTCCACTTGTATGTTTGTACTCGTGGTGAATTCTAATAAACAATAAACAGTTATGCATCTTTGGTTTTACACTCTGTTTGAAAACTCGATTGATTTTTGTTAAATTCTGCAGGAAAGCACAAGCATCTGACATCGGTTGCGACCACGTGGGTTTTCGCTGCGCCCAGTCGGTGGTGCCGACATCTAGCGACAAGGTGCGGTACGTCAGCAAGGTCAACCTGACCAATCAGGCCAAGAGGCCAAAGGTCAGGCACCTGAAGGACCAGAAGAAGAAAAAGAGACCGCCGCCGCCCCCTACCCCGGCGCCACGACGGACCAACACCCCCCGACCCAGGGGGAAACCGAGGAAGAGCAAGAGGGGGAAGAGAAACGACGAATTGTAGCCTGCAGAAGTCAACAATACCTCTTCCAGCTTAATTCAAATTCAAACTTTATTCATCAATTTGGAAGTCCTTAGAATTAGACTGAATTGCGTTGATTGTACAATTTTGCCGATTATAAAAACACAGTACTGTTAATAAGCAACATATCATCAGTTAAAAAGATATTGCATTACATAATCGAGGAAATATAGTAAAAGTGCATGGACGACGTAATGGACACACAGTGATAAAAGTACGTAATATGATTACAGTATAAGAAATGCATTTCAAGAAGTTCCTTTTGCTTGTTCAATGCTTTGTAAAGTGCATCGTGAGTAACTTACTTGTTACCATAACATGTACAAAATCCGCTACGTATATCATTTAATGTGATGATATTGTAAAGCCGTGCAAAGAAAAAAGTTTTCCTTGACGCCCTGACGACACGAAACATGGTAGTTATATGCGATTTTGTTGGACTTCCCTCTAGCTACAGGTATAGTCTGGGTACCATCCGGATTTTCGCTACAATTGTAGCGAAAATCCGGATGATACCCAGGCTATCTAGCTAGTCTTCAGCTTCTGTGGACTATATCAATTACAATGAACATTTGCATAGCCCAAGTGCGTCCCAATTACGTATATACTGTCAAGGTAATAACCTGCTCATTGTATATCTACTACCATTCAATAACAACAAACTGTTAGCAACTTGATACATATGCCAAGAAAGGCCAATGTTATTCTGCACTGTACATTACGTATATGTATATAATAGCTTGGCGCTTAGTCTGTTTTATCCCCAAATGATATTTCGCAAAAACCATGAATAAACCGTGAATTTAGAATTAGAAATCTGATATCTTTGCAATATTTGCCTGTGTATAGTTAGTCTTAACATTTAGTGGAGCGGAATTAACATAAACAAACGTTTACGATCTTTTATAATCGTCTGTGAAATTTGTAGGGTTTCAAAATAAATGCATTAAAACGTTCTAGTTCCTTTTCAAACAAATCATTGTAATGTGTGCCTTTCTAGTCTTTGGACAGGAACTTGAAATAAACTTTGCCACGATCGTTCAGCAAATATTACTATATTATCAAGAAAACAACGATATCAAATATAGACCATTTTCCGAAACTTTTTTTTCAAATTGAATTTTAACGTTACATCTTCAGCACAGCAAAGCTGTTATGTAAATGAGAGATGTGATACGTTGTTCGTCGTCGAAGTTTGCATGAGTCTCACGTGTCTTACCTGGTGACCTTTACCCCCGGAAGCGTCTCCGGAAGTCGACCAGCGCACAGGTACCGTCGCTAGTGTGATCATTCCGCCAACCAATAATATGCGTACATTTCTGTTCGATCCCTGCTTATTTGATGAAATTTCGTACGTTGATGAGTGATTGACAGGTGTCATTAATCTTAGGCCAATAGAATTATATGGCTCACAATGTACACGGAGTTTTGATTGGCACTACTTTTTCTACATCCGGAGCTATTCGGCGATAGCACTCGAGCACTTATTTGTTTCACGTCGTCTCATTGGACTGTCCATCGTTAATTGCTTCATTCCGGCCAATGGCAGACAAGATTGCACAGAGTGGGGTGATGACGTTGCAGTGGCGGAGTAGTATGAAGAGTGGGCGTGATCCGTCACGGACCTCACATCCACTTCTTCCATAGATTGTGGGTAAGTAGGGAGGGGTCGCTCATTAAGGGCTTCGATTCGTCGCTTTTGCGTGATTTTAACAGGGCTAAAA